GCTAAGTCAGTAGCATAGCATAATTACTCATTAATACCATCATGTGAGCCATTCCTCATATTTAATACTGTTGTCACACATTCCTCGTCACTTTAAATTTGGATAAAACACACATATTATGTTTCTTAGAGTAAATTGTAACATACTGTATATATATTTTATATTAAAATAGTTTTTTTTTAATTGCTTCAAAGATTCTTCTAATGAATGTTTATGTATGCATGCACCGTATACGCCAAAGCTAATTCCAAGTATGTGGAAACCTACTTAGCGATAATCTCGATTCTGATTCAGTTTTAGTTTGTCTTTCTCACAGAAATTAGTGGTTCTAGTTCTTTGTATTATTTTTACATTTGGTTCTTACTCTGGACAATAATGTTAGCCAGACTGCAAGCGTTATCCATGTGGCTAACAATATAATATGTCAACAAGTAGATCTATCTTCTTGTTCATAAGAAAACAGAAATGTTATTATTGTCTCTATATCACTTGGAAACACTTGGAGGTGTTGAAAAGTGAACTGTTTTTGCTTTTAATTCCAGGTGTCTGGTCAAACCAGGAGTCTGGAAGCATTGGAGTTAAATCTGGTATAATCGCATTTCTGACTCGGGTTCTATTTGAAATATATGCAAATATTAATCTTTATTTTTATGGTGTGTCAATAGTAGAAACAAAGGCTGAAAAGACTACATGTTTTAGGAAAATACTTAAGACACAAGGAAAGAGTTCCAGCCTTTGTCCAGAAAGGCTTGGCCAGCAGTCAAACAGGGGAGAGGCCAAACCTGGAAACAGTCCAGGAACTGACACGTAGCCGTCTTCATCATCACTATACTGTTAATAACACTGAACAATACACATTTTCTCTATTTCCCTCATTTTCAAGAGAGATTTTCAAACTAATGAGAACTACTGACACTCTCATCCTAGATCATCAGCTCATTTGTCAAGCGAGGGTATGAAGTCATCCCCTTCTAACTGGTTTTAATGCTTTATCGATGTTTCAAAATGAGTATAATGGTTACTTATTCATATTTGAACATCTTAAAAATGCCAAATTCAAAACACAGAGAGCTCTTTTTACAGCTAAACTGATTGTGTTAAACCTTAAAAATTGGGATTTCCAGTTTACACAAAATGTATGAAGAAATTGTGCATCTTAGTACCAGGAAGACCTTGAATCCACAACCTTTGCAGATCTTGATGGATAATACTATAGAGAACTATGTCCTCTGGCTCAGACATTAGGTATGCAACCAAAGAGAGGAGCTGCAGAGCATGTCACCTGATAGCTCAGCTTGAGGAAAAGGATTTAATAAAACATATTCTGCTCCAAAAATAGCAAAGGGTTTGAGGTCTGGCAAATACATCAGTGCCACAGCAAAGGAGACTGTGCAGGTACAATCTCCCAATCTAAGGCCTGCCTCCTATAAAACTCTTTGAGCAAACAGACCGTGTAAACTAAATCTATGTTTTCGCGAAAAAATATCTACGTCACAGGGATAAAGCAACATCTTGATAGATGTCATTTCTCAAAGGGGTAACTGCCAAAGCAACCCAAGCTGTAAACTCTGATGGCATCACTAGGGCTGGCCACAGAAGATAGTAAAGTACTGTTTTCACAGGATCAGCAGTACTTACAGTATACATGTATAATGGATGCAGGGACTACAGTGTTATATTAAGGGTTTTTAATTGAGCAAATGTTCCTTAGGGATCTTACATAAAAACAAATGTTGTTAGTTGTTATGTTCCACTGTGATTGACACTCAGAAACACAACCAGTAATTGTCCTTTTCCTGGAAATGCTTTGCAAGTGCATTTCCTTTGACCATTTTCCAGAGAACCACTGGTTTCCATCTGTTTTAGTGTGGCATCATAATGCACTTGTGGTGAGCACACTACTTGGTACAGACTGAATGATGGGGTGTCACGTTTTCCAAATCCACAATTCTATTTGACTTTAGTTTTTAGCCTTTCTTCATATAGATAAACAAATCATTGCTATTAGAATAATATAATAATTCGTTTATTTCACTTGCAGTGAATGGGCTAAAATTCAAATAGCGAAAGGCCTTTTTAAAGTTATAGTCAAGCATTTTGGTTAACATGCTTGTACTCTTTCTTGACTGAGAGTTTGATGAGAAGATGAATACCCTCATATCTGGCCACTTAATATAAAGCAGGGGTACTCAAACCTTTTTGTTAAAGGGCCACTTGTGAATTTTATACAAGGTCAATGGTCCGGATAAATGCCAGTAAAGTCCCCGCCTATTTGGGGACCCCCTTCTGGTCCAAGCACTTGCCTGTCCGTAAACGGCGTCCCTGTGTACACACACACACACACACACACACACACACAC